GGGTCAGCTGTCCTGGCTGTGCCCCCTCCCAGCTTCTTGTGCACCTCCAGCCTTCTCAGTCGGTAGAGCATGGGAAGCTGAAAAGTCCTTGACTAGTGTAAGCACTGCTTAGCAACAATGAAAACATCGGTGTGTTATCAACATTATTCTCATCCTAAATCCCAAACCCAGTACTATACCAGCTACTAGGAAGAAAACTAACTCTATCCCAGCTGAAACCAGGACACTGACTGTATAAGTTAGCTTTCCGAAAATGCTTATTTGGAAGTGTTTGTTAGTGTACTTTTATGTAGCAGACACAAAATGTAACCTTGCTAAATCCTCTTCAACTTACTTGCAGGAGTAGTCAGTCAAACAGAGGTACAGGCCTTCCTCGTGTCCAAACTGCCCTCTTCTCAAGGATGTTTAAGAGCGTTCACTGAGAGTGAGCTCTAATGATTGCATCATGCCTTAGCACAGAACTTACCCTTCACATGTGGCTGAGTAGATGAGGATGGAGGTACACATGTGCATATGGTAGATATATGTCAGCATATTAAAAGTTTGCCCCTCTCTAAGTGTGTATTACAAAAGTTTGAGCCTGGTGGAGAGCTGAGGGAATAGTGAACAGTGCAGATAAAACCAGGAATTGTGGGCTCAGTGTGTGTAATATGCATGTGGAATTGTAATTTGAGTAGTAATAAAGTGATCTTATTTTTCTTATTTATTTTTAAGAGAAGTAATTTTGCTTGACTTCTGAAACTGTAACTTGTATTTCAGGTAAGGCGTTTAAAATCCCATCCATCAATTATTCTGTGGAGTGGTAACAATGAAAATGAAGCAGCAATTGCAAGCAACTGGTTCTCCATACCTTATGCTGACAGAGAAGTCTATATCAAAGACTACGTGATGCTTTATGTGAAGAACATCCGAGAAATAGTTCTTACTGTAAGTGATCTCAAGAAACTGTAGGGGGATATGGCTTAGCAAAAGGTTTTAATGTTTGCAATTTAAGCAACTTGGGATTATTTTTTTTTTTTTAATCCTTTTGGGAAATGAAAAACAGCACATTATTGAGGAATTGCACTTTCCAAGCTCTTGTAAACAACTCTCTAAACTCAAAGGTTGTCCTCAAAGTAAAACAAACCAAAAAATAACTTACATCTTTAAAACTTTATGATATGCAAAGGAAGACCTGAAAGTGTAGTGGATCTTGCTTCTTTTTTCCTTCCTATTTTTAATACCTCCACAAATGCCTTCGCTTCCAGTGGACAAAAATCAACTTGCCCATTAATTAATTAATCTAGATGATCAGATTTCCTTTATCCTGATTTTGTTGAAGGATACTGTAAGAAGGATTTAACAACCCTCAGGCCTTTTAATAGCAGTTGAAGAAATTAATAAAGATGTTATTTCTTCAGTGTGCTCTTCCAGTATTTGACTTAAGTTTTTTGGCTTAAGCAGGTTAAACAAAATCTATGCTAAACATTGTCCTCATGCTGTGTAGTCATTATACTGTATGTTTTTGAAAAACAGACTATATGGTATTTTACAGTATATGAAGGCAAAATAAAATATTTTGAGATAAGACTTAAACTGTGAGCATGCAGACCGGAAGCACCTGGAATCTGTGATGAAGTCGTCTGTGATTTGCCACTACCCATTTTGCACAGATTTTGTGTTTTATTTCTCCTCCTGAAGTGTTGCAGTTCTTCATTATTTAGTGGAATCTGCTTTTAACTAACTTTTATGTGTGTATGTAGAGTGAAATTGATTTAAAAGTCCCAAATTGATGTCGCATAACTGTATAGGGATTAACAAACAACGCTTAAACCACAGGTGAGTATTCTAAACTCCCCTATTAGCTAAGAGACAAAATGTTGCAAGAGTTTTGTCTGGTTAGAACTTTCTTCTTCAACAAGAGCATGAGGTTTTGTTAACCTAAAAATGCTAGTGGCCTCTTCCTACCCAGTTATCCCTTGTATAGTATGATCTTATTGACTTCAAGGTATGATAATTTTAGTCTAATCTCTCTCCTTTTCAGGATGGGATACATTTCATGTTATGAGACTCATGACCTGCTAAGACAGGCACTCAGTATGTAGGTGACAGCAATATTATTCCTTGTTATTTGAGGCTACTGGCATTGTCAGAGTAGTTGTACTCTGAGAATTTAGAATACCTTTCTACTGGAAAAGTTGAGATATGAGGAAACAATAAAAATGAGGCCAGGTTTGAAAGAACCTGCTGGAAAGGATCCCATTCTTGAGGGCAGTTGTGCATTCTAAATGGTAAAGGTGTCTTATATTCCTGCTTAACATCTTGATTCTAGATTTCTATACTTCAGTTAGGTTTTTTGGAACTGAGTTGTTTGTAAAGGTGTGCTGTGGTGTTTCTGTCATTAGCTACATGAGTTGGATGGCCAGTGCATGTGCAGCAAAGTGAGGTGTTCTGGCTTGATACTGTTTTTTAGTTACAGTTCACTTGTGCAGCATTGCTGTCCAAGATGGACCCTCTTTTATTTCAAACCCGTAGAATAACTATGTTGAGTGCCAGAAGGAACCATACAGTGAAATAATTTCAGGTCCTGTGTAATACAAGCCAGATGAGGAAACCTGTAACTACTAGCAGTACTGGACTGTGTAACTTAAAAAGACTTCTAGGTTTGAGGTAAGACTTTAGGGAATCCAGGATATCCTGTAGTAAATCGTTTCAGTTAGTTATTAATTACTCGGGTCAAAAAAAAAAAAGGGGGGGGGACGGGACTATTTCTTAAAACAAAGCACATGTCTAAGTGCTTTGCTGTACTGGAGCCAATTGCTGAAACTTGTGACTGGTAGCTAACTCAGGCCTCTATCTTCCTACAAGTAGGGTGCTAAATGAATTACACCTGCAAAAGGATTCCTTCAGTACTTTGTAGGGTACTACTAAAAGATTTAGTATGCTAAATCTACTGAGGCTATAAATAAAGGCAGCTCTGAACAATTTGAAGTGTAACCCTTCTTATAGTCTCATCTAGCTTAACATGCAGAGCCAGCCAAAATGGCAATAACCTGCAATGCTACCATGCAAGCATTAGTAGCAGAATACCTTGGCTTTGTTAGGACTAAATTTAGGTGACTACTTCATAAGAAAGGGGAAAATCATGGCCTTGTACCTACAAAAACACTGCAAAAGTAATGATTTTCCATAAAGAAGTCACAGTACTCAAAATATTAATGTTCCTTGAGTTTATTTTTCATGAGGCACACTTTAAATAGCTTTCATTAAGAATTTAGAAGCATATAAAGATAGAAAATCTCTTGATATGAGGAGAGAATCCCTTAGAACAGCAGAGCAAGCAATATCATGCCCAGCTGTCCTCCAAGAACATAAATAAGAAGCTAATTAAGCAAGTAAAGATGATGAATATCAGGACACAAAGGGGAATGTTTCCTAGGTGGTGACTCAGAAATTTGGAGAAGGCATGATTCTATGAGTCTAACTTGTAGGAAGTTTCGTAAGGTGAAGATAGGTAGTTTCAGATGATAAAAGCCAATCACTTTTTGAGGGGGTTGTGTTTTGTTGTTTGTTTTTTTTTTTTTTTTTAAACCCAGGAAGATAAGAGTCGTCCTTTTATTGCATCCAGTCCCACCAATGGCTTGGAGTCAGTTAAAGAAGGTTGGCTCTCCCAGAATCCTTATGATACCCACTATGGTGACACTCACTTTTATGACTACAGCAATGACTGCTGGAACTGGACGGTGTATCCTAAAACTCGTTTTGCTTCAGAATATGGATTTCAATCCTGGCCTTCCTTCAGTACAATTGAAAAGGTAAGGCTGGGCTTCTACACCTTACTGTCCCCTCTGCTCTCATTTAGTGAGGGCAATGAGTCTCTTCCCAACAAACTACAGCATCCGAACTGTAGTTGGGATAATAAATTGTTAGGTGTGGTACGGCACAGGTGGGATAGAGATATGTACTGGTGTGGAAGGAGGGATGAAACAGGACTGTTTCCCTCCTCAGTGTTCAATATATTTACCTTGATGTTGCAAGAGGAACCAAGTTTAGATGAGAGACTATTAAGACACTATTAATTTTAATAGTAATTCTATTTAATATATAGCTTAGTAATATTGCCTGACATCTGTTTCCTTTTGCTGTGTCTAACAATATGTGTTCATTTAGAAACAGAAGAAACATGACAAATGTTGAATTGTGCTGAATTCTAAAATGTATTGATTTTTATCATTTTTACCAATTTCTTTACTTAAATAATTTGTTTCTTTATGTATTGCATATAAGAGGATTTGGTTTTGTCTCCTGTTAAATTTAGTTATTGTATATTCTATCTTATTTATCCAGTTGGAGCAGAGACATATCATGCTATTTGTCCATTTGTTCAGTGAGAGATGAATATCATGTTGATACTCGTGCATGTGACTAAAAGGAGTTCAGAATGTTCCTTTCAATTTGCTGGGCAAAGTATATTATCTGAGATATAATCAGTACATTCATTCATATTAATAACAATGAAAATTATTCAATCCAGCCTAAAAAGGAACAAATTTAAATAAAAAGCTTTTATAGAGATTGTAATTACAATAAAAGCTTGACAATAATAACTGTATGAGCTATGCTGCATTGTTGTCCTTAGCTGAAAAAAAACCCGTTTCATGATAATTTGTTTTCAGAGGCAGGTTTTGAAAATATACTTTATTAGAATTTATAGCCTACTAACTTCTATAACTTTTATGCCTAAATGTGTTTAACCTAGAGTACATTCTTCCATCTTAATCTAGGGTGTTTCTGATTTACTATGAATGCAAGCAAATCTCTGAGGTCCCTTGGCCAAACTGAATCTTAGGACAAATAAGTTAAATGCCATTGAGCCAAAAGTTGCTCTTCTGGGTTCAACAGCAATGTCTGTTTTCATTTATTTGTACAAGGAGTATAAGCAAAGGGTGTTATTGATTCAAAATCCTTGCATGACTGCATGAGGCACTATAGAAATATACTACCGATTTTAAAGGTTTTGGATGATGTCAGCAGGCTGTAATGGTATCCTTTCCTGAATATCCTGTCAGTCATTAAATGCACATTTTGCCTTTTCATTCTGATCTCTTGTGTTTTTTAAAAGGTTTCCTCCACTGAGGACTGGTCCTACACAAGCAATTTTTCTCTCCATCGACAACACCATGAAAATGGCAATGATCAGATGCTTCAACAGATTGGGCATCATTTCAAGCTTCCCCAGAGCACAGATCCCATAAAGAAGTTCAAAGATATGATTTACCTCACTCAGGTAACAGTGATGTCTTCAATATAAGTTGCTGTCAATACTTGTTCCGTTAGATAATGTCAGTGGTTAAAACTGGGCCTATTCTGTTCAGTCATGCAGAAAGTTTCTGCACTGAAGCATTGGAGAGTCCAGTTTAATTTGGAACTAGCTTGTCTCTCGTTTATTGGAGAGAGACTCCAATTTTCATCATAGAAGGGTTGGAATACTTCTCGGGGAATTTCCCAGAACCTGGCTCAATTGGGAGAAAGTCTGGCTGCCTGCGCGACTTTGGTCCCCTGTCCACTCATGAAGCTGGTTGGGGGTGCAGGGATATGCTGGGCTTCGGTGAATGCAATTATTCCTAGTGCTACACTGTTACTCCCTGTTCCAGGGTGGGTATGTTTTCCTCTTCATGTGGCCCCTGTAGGCTTACTGCTTTGATTTTTGCCACAAGGAATCCATGAGCTTTTGAAACAGGATTGTTTCTAGAGAATGCAGTTCTCTATGGGTGAGATTATTAGTAGCTTTTATTTTGTTACAGACTCAGATATTGATATTTTAGAGAATCTATTTTGGTTTTTTTTTCAAATCAGTAGGTTATATGTTGCTCTTCATCGGTAGTAGTTTACCTCATGCTTATTTCTTTCTTCTTGATTTCTATGTGACTTTTAAGTGACGTTAAGTAACTTTTTAATGCTATTAGGCAGGTTTAAAGTGCTGCTACTTCTTGTTGTGTTCCAAGAATTTCAGAAACATTCTTGATGGGAATAACTGCACGTTCGCTAAGTTTTTTATGTTTGAGAGCTGTCAGCAAGTTTTATATAAAAACAAAACAGCTGGAGAACTCTAGGCACTGATGACAAGAGAACAAGGATAGATGATGCTAGCGAAAAAGGGTAAAACTTGCATGGTGAGGTCCTGACTCAAAAAACTATGAGAGTTTCTGCAGGGTTAAGTCTGTCAGGGCCTTATTAACAGGTTAAACAATTTAAGAGTACCAATATAAGGATAGCAAAAAGGATAAGAAGAGTAAACTTGGCTCTAGTGGTTAACTAGAAGCATTATCTTTACCTTTTGAGCTGTCCTAAAGAATAACTTCTTCCTTTATTTTGAGTCTTTCTTTTAATAGCTCCCCAGCCTAGTAATATACTTTGTGAAGAAAATACCAGGCTTTTTGGCTTCTATTGAGAACTTGGCCAATGAAAAATTCTGAAAAGTGTTTTTTAAAGACAAGGTGGGGAAGGAGAGAAGAAGTGAGAGTGCAGGTGAAAAAAGGTTGCTCTTTCAGTGCACCGTTTTGACTGTATACTGGGTATATGTGTTATATGTTCAGACTGTAGGGATGTGGACATCATGGTGATGTATACTGGAGGTGGTGCAGCATAATGTAATTTTGTAACTCTTGGGTTTTTTTATTTACATTAATTAAAAAATATTTATTTTAAATTTATTTTTCTTTCTCTTGTCTTCCATTTGCCTTTCAAAGACTCTGCCCAGTGATCTTCACTGGATGGAAGGCAGGAAGTAGCCCCTCCAGAGTTTCTCTAAAGATACTGCTTGTAAAGGTGTTGGGAGCTGCTAGGAATAGATCTTCAAGCAGAGGCCCACTGCGCTGCAGGTGTATACTCTTGAAGGCTCAAGTTTAAAGTTATGTGCCGTTGCTGTGAAGTCTGTGTTGTATGTTAATACATACACACATGCTTTGAAAGTAAAGTAAAATACAATACACCAAAAATATTTTTTTTATGTGTTTGTTGACCAAGGTGATGCAGGCTCAGTGTGTAAAGACAGAAACTGAATTCTATCGTTTTAGTCAAAGTGAAATAATCAAGGGAGAAGGACACACAATGGGAGCTCTGTACTGGCAACTCAATGACATTTGGCAGGCACCTTCATGGGCTTCCTTGGGTAAGTTTTGTGACAATCTGGTAAAAAGCACCAACTATCAGTCTTGTTTTGTTTTCCTCATCTGGAAGTATAAGAATAAGAAATATGGTTCTGCTCTCTCTCTTGGGCAACTTTGCAAACTTTGAACATGTTTCTGTCCATCCTTTAGAAATGCTTTCCAGAAAAGTGTTTTTCAGGATCATCCTAATAGTCTGTGACAATGGAAGAGGGTAAAGAACACAGCAGTTCTTTTCCTATGGAAGTTCTGCTGTTTAAGTTCAGATGTAGCAGCCACCAACTCTCACCCTTGTTTTAGCAAGATTTAGTTTAGAGAAGTTAAAATCATATGTAACTCCTAATTTCTTAAAAACACATTTTTTCATTTAAGCAATATTCTCATTTCTCCCAAGAAAATAATAGCTTTGAAGCCAGACAAAGCTGCCTATTAGGAAGCAGTGATGGTTAAGACTGAGGGCACAACCCCCTTGTGAAGTAAACTTTCAACTATCCTAGCTTTCCTAATGTAGAGCTGGATCTTCCTGAAACTGCGTGTGAGACATCATCCAGGTTTTTCCAGAGAAATTTTGCATTTTTTGCAAGTTTAACTCTTTTAAAATTAGAAAGATCAATTCTTTTAAAATTGGAGACTGCTAAGAAATTCTGTTTCCAAAAGGGCCTGTCCTAGAAATCCCTGATGATATTTTTTGGCTCAGCTGTACAGATGCGTGTATGTATCCAACCACCCTGGGTGAGAATGGACAGAGAAGGAGCTGGTGTGATAGGAGGGTAAGAAGGAGCACCCATGTATAATTATACTTTCCATAATCCCAACAACTTTGGTTGATTTTGTTCCCCCTGCCCCCCATGGTAAAATGATCAAAATTTCTCCCTTCAGTAGGCAGTAGTGCACTGTCAAAAAAGCTACAGAACTGTGATTCTGTTCTGAGCAGGATGGGATTTAGTATGTAAAGGCTAGGCATCTAGATTTCTTCTGTCGTCAGTTGGGGGAGAGATGGTTATCTCCAGAGCGTGTGATTCATTGTGTCCTTAGCTGTCTAATAAGTGGGATGAATTATCTTCTCCATGCTGAATTTGATTTTCATAGATCTTCATATGACACCTCTCACCCAGCATAGCTTCTGAGAAGCTCTTTATAGGAGAAGATGACTAGCTGAGATTTGGTGTCTAACTTAGTGTCAGGTGAGGTGAATCACTCTTTGTGACTAAATTATTCTGTTAATATGCTATTTATGCACATGATATCTCCTTATATACATTTTTTCCTTTTAGAACACAAAAATGGAGTAATCGGACATAAGAGAGAAGTCACTTAGGCAGTAAGGAATAGGGGAGGAATGTTGTGGTATGCGGGAAGTGGCTGTATTTCATGTTCCGAACGTTTTTGTCTAGAAGTCATTTTGAAATGGAGAAGCTGTTCTATGGCAGCCGTATAGGACTTGGGTAGATTCTCTTTCAATTTTAGTTATTTCTCACATATTCTGTTTTTGAAAATCTTTATTTAAGAATTTCATGTGTGAAGAAATATGAGTGAACTAGAAAAAGCTAAGAGTTAGTGTGAAGTTCTCAATCTGTCCTTAGAACAAAATGCTATTTGGCCTTGCTTTAAAAAAATTAGCCCACCTCATCCTCCCCCTCTTTCTCTGGGGGGTAATGTCCCTCTTGTCCCTCTCCCTTTTTCTCTTTGTTCTTTTTTATCTTTTTTTTTCTTTTTTTTCTTTATTCATCCAAGCAAAGTAACTGCAACCAACAAAGGAAAACAAACCAGTAGAAGAAACAGGCTATTTTATTTAAATGTTACGGCAGGGGTCCAAGTATAATGCTCATCTTTCTGGACTTTCTAGACTTGTATTAGGAAATGGAATATCCCAATGTTAATTTTTATGATTCTAGCAATGGCTGATGCTCTTAGGCTTTAATTACCTAAGGAGAAAAAGATGCTTGGAAAAATGTCTCTGTGTAAAGACAGGTGTATTGATAGACGAAGTGATTGTGGAGACCATAACCGTTGTCTTAAGTGCAGAGCTGATGTCATTGTAGAAAATATATCAAATACTTGAATTATTCATATGTTGTTGAAGTTAGTTTACAGAAAAGAAGCTCAGCAGAGATACAGCTGTCCCTTTGTTTGGTTCTATTCCCTCAGTGGAATGAGGAAAGGTTTAATATTCATTTAATTAGGCAGTGTGGTAGAGGGATTTTTGAAATGCTAATGGCTGAAATTATGCAAAACTTCAGAGAAATTAGTTTTATTTGCACTTCAAAAAAACGTTTCTGCATCTTGTTAGATGGCACAGTAGTATCACCAATGAGTGCTTCTTATTTAAATCTGTTATTTCACAGAGAGCCGGGGGGGTGGGGTGGGGGGCTTACATAATTTCCTGTACAAAACGGAAGTATTTCCTCATGAAGTGGGGAGGGAAAAAGGTAGCAAATGTTTCTCCTTTTAACTTACCTTTAAGATGTTTGCTTGGGATTGAATGGAAACACAGCACAGCACTCCTGTCATAGTACTTGTGCCTTCAGTTCAGAACTAAATAGCTTTTACCACAACTCGGTTTTGATTGTTAGCGCCTAGTTGTGGAGCTGGTTGTGTCATGTTGAATGCTTTAGCATCTATGCCATGTGTTTTGGTGAAGAGCGCTGTGATACACATGGCAATTTACCTTGCTCTCATACAAGTGTCACCTTGAGGTACCCAACGCGGTTGTCATGAGATTCCCTTGAACAGACAACTGGCTTTTATTGCAGGTTCAATATTCGGAGCCCCTGGTGAGCTGAAACCACAGGCTATAATGGAGAATAATAGATCTGAATTTATGAGACTGAGGTGAGGAAAGAACTAGCAGCATGTTTCTCAGGTTGCATTTAATTGTGTGAAGTGATTAATTTAAAATCCGTTCCAGGGAGAACTGTTTGCTCTCGCTCCTGCTATCAGTGTGGAAGGCTTCAGGGAAGAGTCAGAAAAAAGGGTACTGGGGTCTCATTACAAACCTAATTTTAGTTTCCTGTTCTGAAGTTTGATACCACAGAGAGTGCAGACCCCATGTTATTATCAGGAAAAAATTGGGGAACTTGGATTTAAGAATTCATTTAAATATGAGGGGAGGAGGAGAAAACCATCCCAGGGCTGTTTTAAATAACTTTTGTCTGTTGCCTTTGGGCATGCATGTCTGTAACAGGAAAGTTTAAGCCCAGAGATTTCTCACGATATCTACCTGATCTCCAGATTTCCTACATCCATTTTTGGGGCAGGGGGAGTATTTTATATGCAACTTGCCTATTTTTAAATCAAGAAATGTGACTCTGGTCTTAAGAAAATCAAGAAAACAGATAAGAAAATCAAGAAAACAGATGAGCTGAAGAATGTGGCTTTTTTTTTTTTAAATCAGTGAGCTTCAGTTTTCTGTACTGTCTGAAGTTACTTTGGCAATTGTATTATCAAGATCCTGTTGCTGGAAAAGTTATCTTTGGAAGACCCTTCCTGTGTGAAACTGCTCCAGCAGTTGAGCTTTGGTCTTCAGAATGGCTCTAGGTTTTGTGGTAAGGGAAATACCAACCTTAAAAAGCTGATCTGAGGTAAGCAGACTAGTGATGTTTTCAAACATCCCAAAACAATAGCTGTAGTAGTTGAACCCTAGAATGAGTTTTGAAATGGTACAAACTTTTAAGTGTGTGGTTTGTTTGCTTTTGTTTGTTGTTTGGGTTTTTTTGTTCATTTGTTTTTTCCTTGCGGAAGTGTAATGCCAAGTTTAGTCTGAGTTGTTTTCTCCGCTGTACAGGTTTCTTGAGGATCTCTGTATCTGCTGCCTAGGTAGCAAACCTTCTTTCTTTCCCTCCACTGCAAGGTGGTTATGTAATCCAGTTGGAAATCAAGGCACAGCAGAAATTGAGGGTAGGGCCCATTCGAAGAGAAATGGGATTTTATATTACACTGAGTAACAGAAACTGCTCTACTTCAATTGTATTATTCATTTTCATATTTAAGGCATTTGCAGCCTAGATTTTCATCATGTAAATTAAGCTGAGTTAAAAATTCAAGTCAGCAGGCATGGAAACCTCAGCACCTGATGGGTAACTTGCCCAAGCTCGTGGTGGCCTCTGTCTGAGGCCTGCAGTGAGCAGCATCTATTGCACTGACAATTGAAATTCCTGAGAGTCTTCTGGCAGTTCTGAGGGCTTCAGAGTGTTCAGCCCCTCCCAAAACCTGAGGTTAGGCGCAATGCCCATTTCTCATACAAGGCCCATTGCTTTTATTTTTGCTGCCCCCCAGTCTACTCTGTTTCAGATAATCCATCCCCAGTCCAAATCTCTCATCTTCTCAAGTTTCATGACCCTGAAAAGTAATTTGTTAGCACTCCCTGTTTTTGGCAGAATTGTCCTTTAGACCACGAATGTTTTCTGCCAGGAATTGTCCTTGGAATGCAAGAACGTGGCTCCGTTCATATACTGAACAGCACCAATATGCTGAGTATGTTCATCAGTTTATGAACAGCCTGTCTGTCTTGAAGAAACTCAGCAGCCTCTCCTGAAGTTTTCTTTCAGACCTCATCTCTTCGGTTTGCTTCAGTGCTATTAACTTGAATGTTGGTGGTGTTTTGTTGGCGACAGTCTGATCTCAGCACAGTTGAATCTTGTATCGGTTTTCCAGGCAGATACGAGCTTTTCTTGTCTGTTCTCCAAGCTAGCTGGTTGTGAGCTTGTTGAAAGCAAGGTGATGTGCAAGGTGCTAAGCTGGAGCTAGTGCACTTTGCTCTCCGCAAAGTTCATTTGTGTCTATGTGGAGTGCAGGCAGAGCATGTTCAGGTCTGTCTGTGAAAGCCACAAACACACCCTTTAAAGACTACATCACTCTGGATGAAGTCCTTAATTATGATATGTTTGAAAGTGCTAAGAGCTTTGTACAAGCACCAAAACACAGAGAGGTAATTAGTTACAACAAAAACATTACTGGAGATATTTTTTCAGCATCCCTGGACTTTAAACCTGTTGTATAAAACAAAGAGCCAGAAACAAGAATGAAACTGGTATCTAACTTTTCTTTCCTTACGAGATGATGCAGCTGACTTGCTGCTACTTTTTAGTGCCATTTCAATGACTAGATAATGGTTGAGCAAAGACAGAGTTAAAATGCTGACAGTGGGTGCTAGATAGAAAATTAATAGAGAAAGAGATGGAAGCAGCTTCTCTTTTGAAATGGTTGTGTGGCAGTGTTGCATCTGGCAAATTTTTTTTTTTTTTTTTTTTTTGAGCGGACACAATGTTAGATGGCTTTTCCCATTTGTTAATGACAGACTTTCAAAGTATTAAAAGTACAGCTTTCCATTAAAGAGGCAGAGCGAACTGATTGGCATATAGCTGCATCATGTATACTAACTCCCATAAAAAAAGTGTTGTCTCTAGATCTTGGCAAATTCATTTTGCCTAACTCAGAGTTGTCTTTGGTTTGAGAAGTTGTTTTTTTGTCTTCGTTGCTATTGATGTTCCTCTAAGGAAGAACTGAAAGAGGAGGACTGAAAAAGGGAGAGTGCTTTGTATGAGCATCAAAAATCAGACTCTGTCTCTTTACAGTGGTGGTAGTTTGTGGCAATGCCACCAATGCCAGTGTATTTGTCTGGATTCTCAACAAAGATGCTCCAGCTGCTTGCTTAATGTGTGGTACGCTGTGTCAGTTTTGTTAATGTCACTTGTGTTTTAAGGCTTTCTTTGAATAACAGCATAGCAATGATAGGGCCAACACTTACAAAATGTGATCTTTTGGTGAAGCGCAAAGAAAAGCTTGAAAGAGCATCAAATCCCTTCCAGAGCCTCGCCTCGCCTGGAAGAAAACAAGAGTAACTTCAGTCATTCTCTGCACCTGATACAGGTGAAAAACGGTGAAGGGTGATATTGTATTGCCATAGCAGGACCAGAGAGCACAGCAAGGGATTGTGTGCCAAGGCAATCTTGGATTCAATCTGAATCTTTCTTCCTTTTAACCCTTTTCAGAGTATGGTGGTAAGTGGAAACTGCTTCATTATTTTGCCCAGAACTTCTTTGCACCACTGTTGCCTGTGGCCTATGAAGACAAAGGTGTGTTGTATATTTACGGTGTCTCAGATCTTCATGTGGACCACAAGCTGACTTTGAGGGTAAGTGACACCTCTCTCGCCACTCTTGCGTCCCTCCCGCAAAAATGTGAGAGGCTGAAGTGAGCACATCTTTGTATAGACAAGCTTCAGTAAGTCTATGCTCAAACACAATGAGGTGCAATTCTTGTCTTTAATCTTCTTAGGGGCAACATTATCCTTTACTGTAGTAGTGTGTACTGCTTCGCAGAACAAGGAATTAATTGCCTTGCTTATAGCCTGTAGGTATAGGCCTGAAATTAACTATTCTGTTGAAATCTTAAAGGGATTGATGGTTAAATAGAACAAAGTGTGAAAAATGGTACCTCACTACTTAACAAACCTATTCCCTGGTTGTTAGATCTAGATTAACTGACGAAGTGTGTGGGGGGAAGGATTGTACCATTGCTTGCCGGTACTCAAACTACACCGCTTGGGGAAAAAGAACTAGATTATTTTCTGAAATATTAACAGAACATCTAGGTGTACTTTAATTGTAAGGTCACCTATGCAATGTCACCATTTCACAATTGATGCCTTAACTGTATTCTGATAATGCTATAGAAACTGATAGGATTTCTTAGGCAGTATTTGGGCTGCTGAGCTGTCCTGTAGAACACAGTCTTCCTTTTCAATTTGTTACATTTTGTTGCTGTTAGTCACATGGCAACCAGATCCCAAATAAGTTCAGGGGCCATTTTGCACTACAAGATACGATTCCTGACGTAAAGGGTGTCCCCATGTGAAAAGGCTGGGAAGGATGGAAAAATAGACCTGGAGACCTGGAATGACTCACTAGTCATTTTGGAATTAGTAGTACGAGAGTGTCAGTTCCTAGTTCACTGCTCTGTCTGGTGTGCTGCCATGAATTTTCAGATTTATAAGGTTTTTTAATTTAAGATAAGGGTGCATTCATAATGCATACATGATCTCTGGGAATGTATATTTTACTGTATTAATATAACTTCCATAATCCCTTTTAAGATGATGTAGTTTGCTTCTGTTTAATGGTGATTGTGCAGAAGCTCTAGATTACCCAGTTGGGTTACATCAGATAACACTGAGCAATCTCAAGAAAATCTTTTGTTTGACTTTTTTTAATCAGGGAGGGGAGGAAAAAGAGTCAACAGATTAGTCACTTACTAATCTATTTCCCAGCACTCCCTTGGCAGAAATCGACAACCCCCTCCTCTCAAGGAGCCTGGAGAAAACAAAAAGCCTTGCAGATCAAGAAGAGCAACAGATCCAGACTGTTTGAAGCTGACTTCTTGTTAGGTTTATATAATGATCTAATTACTATGCTGTATTGATTGTTTGAATCTTTGTGGAGTTTCTTGGTAGGTGGAAATCGGCTGGTACCGTCAGGGGAACATCTCTTGCAATGAGCAATCCGAAACCTAGGATGCTGGGTTATCTTCACAGATGTAACTTTTCTTCTAAGCTTTGTGCTCTCTCAACATGCTTGATAGGTCGTTGTGCACGCCTGGAGTTCTTTGGAGCCAGTATGCACCCTTGCCAAAGACGGTGTGACTGTTAAAGCACAAAGTGCTGTCCCCATCCACAAGGAGTCCATAAATGACTTGCTGGAAAGATGCAGAAACTGTACCAGGAAAAGCTGCGTTATTACTTTCTGTCTTGTGGGAGAAGGTGGGCTCCAGAGTCCTACGAACCATCACTTCCTTTCATCTCTAAAGGATGCTGTAGGATTAGAAAAGACCCAGCTTAGTGTAAGCATCAGTCATGCTAAATTACTCTATTTGCTTTTGCTAGTCTTACTGTTTTGAGTTGTTTGCCTGCTATACAGTGTCTGATTGCACTGAATGTTCTTTCTCCTTAGCTGTTGCAATTCTGGCTTCCGTGTTCAAAATCAGATTTTTTTTTTTTTTTTTTCCTTCTATATGCATATCTAAATAATACTGCTGGAGTTTGGGTTCTTAGTGTTTTGGGGGTTTTTTTGTGGGTTTTTTGTTTGGGTTTGGTTTTGTTTTAAATAACTAAGTCTCCATTTCGTCTGTTTTGACTGTCTTTCACCTGACTGCTGCAGCATTTCACCTTTCATTCGTTTTGTCCCTAGATAGCAAATAGCATCATGGCAAGTGTTTTGGCTTGCAGACAGTACTGTATGTTAGTACTAGGTGATGCTAGTTCAGTTGAGTGTGGAGTGCATTATTGTCAGCAGTATTTCCTCTTGAAGTGCTCAAACTCTCTCAGATCAGTGTACCATTGCTAACATGCAATATTGCATGCTCCGTTCCTCCTTCTACAAATCCCTGCCCTCCAGCTAAGGGTTCTGATTTGCATTATAGTGATTATTTCTTAATATCTGGCAAGTGTGTCGGTCTTCTGAACAGGCACAAAAAGCATCTGTGTTGTATAACACTGTCATTTAGTCCATTTGCTGCTTTTCCCTAGACTTCTTCCACTCCTAGCAAGTGTGCTCTCTATAGAGAGAGCAAGCACGCTCTGTATGTGTGTGCATGTACACATGCATTTTGTTAAGCCTCATTTCTTAGCATGTAAATCTTATTGCAAAATTCTTAATCAGCAGATTGGCAGGATGGCACCCTGTGTGTTCTCACATTTGGCTACCAAACTGCAGCTTTGCTCTTTAGAGCTAAACTAAACAAGGGGGGAATAGAGGTCTTTAATCTCTTTGAATCTGGACCAGCACAATTGCTTTACAAAAAGAAAATGGGCCAGATTTTCCCCTTATCTCTTTCATGGCACCATGGCCTGCCTCCTGAGTATACAAAGGAAAGAAATCGGCCTGTTTTTATTTTTTTCAGCTGGTGGCACAATCTGGAGTCTGAGTCATGCTGGGTTTTTTTGTGGATGACATCATCAATAATAAAAGCTCTGCAACTGGAGCATCGTTGGGAAATTTCACTCCTTTTTCCCATGGCTGTGTTGTCTCTGCAGTACTAATAAGGATAGCTAGCAAGGAGAAATGCAAAGTGGTTATTTTAAGAAAGTATACAGCTGTGATTTAAAAAATTATTATGTTTTGTGAGAAGGTGGTGCTTCTATATGTAGTTGCTAATAAACTAACTAGACTTTCAAATACATTGCTAATCCAAGCGCTACTCTTCATAGCATTGCTTTTAAAAACATGAAGACTTTAGTGTTTCTTCAGAAAACACAAAATGTAAAGGATGTGTGCTTTTTCTTAAAAATGAGTAGTGTTGTTTTTCTTGTAAGCGGGATGTGATTTCTGCACTTAACATAATTTGTCTGCTTTTTATATATAGTTAATTGGTATTTGAAAATGATGTAGCATTTTTCATGATGGTGAATGGGGAGCGCTGCATCAAAATGCATCCTGGTTGTGCTCTTAAGCCTCTCTGAGATTAACCACTGATAGAACTTAATATAAAACATCATACCTTGTCCTGATATTTCACAACATAGCTGCCTTCTAAATGTAGTGTAAGGACTTAACTGCCATGTTCCATTAAGATGAGGTGACCTCCTGCGTTACTGTGATTTTTTACCATCTTTTGCTTCTGTGTATTTCTGTTACCGATGTAATCGGAAAGGCCAGCTACTTCAGTAGCTGTGCATTTATAGGTTGAGTGAAGTGTGTTGGTGGAAGGACAAATCTCTTTCACTGCAGTAAGTACAGGATACCAGTACTAGGTACAAGTCAGATTACCATTTATTTGGTTATTTTCATAAGAAGATGTTAGAGTGATAACACTTCATGGCATTTTTCCACAATCTGTAGTATTCTGTAGGAAGGCTATAACAACATTTGCAGTTTTGCATGATTCTTCCATATGAATCCTGTTGGTTTGACCTTTCGTTCCAGAAGAGGCTTCCATGAAAGAATAGTAATTTTGATCAAATGTGGTTGTTCAGTCTGTTTTGCTGACACGCAGGTCTTACCCAGTTTGGGTGTAACTGGGTTCTTATTTAACATGTGTATTTTCATTTATTTATTTATCTCTCTTCCAGGCCTCTGTATCCCAACGAGATGACATTTATGTATTTGTTCTTCAGACCACTGCAATTGCTCCTTTTGTTTCTCTGGATGTAGGGAATATAAAAGGCAGATTTAGTGATAATGGTTTCCTCATGACCGAAAAGAAGAAAGTCGTCATGTTTTATCCTTGGGAACCTACCAGTGTTGAAGAACTAGAAAAGTCACTAACCCTGACCTCTCTGGTGGACGTTGTCTGAGGATACTTCGTTTCCTTCTAGATAAGGAGTGAAACAGGAAGAGGAAAAAATTAGAAGAATTTGACTAAAGTTGAAGTGACGTACAATTTGAACTGACTGGAGAACATACTGTTTATTCCTGTCGTGTGAATTTTAACTGCTGGTTCAATGTAAAGATACCAACAGCAAAGCTTGCGTATAATATATGTGGTGCATTGAAAGTAAGGCTTTCTCAGGTAACGGGAAAATATATCCCATGTATAAAATGGGAGCGGTGAGTTGGTGCAAGAGAGCTAGTCTGAGCTCTCCAATTCACATGAGATGAATTACTGGGTTGTGAATTCATCCTAACTAAGAGGCAACAGAAATGTGCGCCTCCAGAGTATGGTTGTAAAAATCCATATTTTTTCCAGTTTCACTATGCCGTAAATGGGAATTCATCTTAGGATAACAGCAAGGTATGCTGGGGGCAAGGAGGAAGGGCAGGGAGTGAAGCTGGGACCACCTCCACAGGTATGCCCCCACTTGGAGTGGTTTGATCTATCTACAGCCAAATCGGGAAAGCGCTAGTCCTACCCTTTCAGATCTATGGCTGTGTCGTGGTTTAACCTCAGTTGGCAACTAAGCACCATGCAGCCGCTTGCTCACTCCCCCCCCGCGATGGGATGGGGGAGAGAATTGGAAAAGCACAAGTGAGAAAAACTTGTGGGTTGAGATAAAAACAGTTTAATAATTGAAATAAAATGATAATGATAATAATATGATAATAGTAATAATACACAAAGCAAGTGATGCACAGTACAATTGCTCACCACCTGCCGACCGATGCCCAGCCAGTCCCCGAGCAGTGGCCCCCCCGCCAGCTTCCCCCAGTTTATGTACTGAGCATGACGTCACATGGTATGGAATGTCCCTTTGGCCAGTTTGGCTGTGCCCCCTCCCAGCTTCCTGTGCACCTCCAGCCTTCTCAGTCGGTAGAGCATGGAAAACTAGAAAGTCCTTGGCCAGTGTAAGCACTACCTAGCAACAACTAAAACATCGGTGCCTTATCAATTTTGTTCCCATCCTAAATCCAAAGCACAGCACTGTACCAGCTACTAGGAAGGAAATTAACTCTATCCCTGCTGAAACCAGGACAGGCTGTCACTCCATCAGGGGTCCTGCCTGCCTCCTGCAAGGTAGGCTTCCAAATAGGCATGAAGCCTGGGCTGTCTAGTCAGACATCAGGGAGATCTGTTCCCCCTTCTGAAAGGGGAATTGAGTACGAGACTTGTTTTCTTCTCTCTTCTTGTTCAACATTGAGCAATAACCTTGAGAGCTCTGCATCTAGGTTTGTCTCTTCCCAGAGGGCTGCAGGTGTAGTCACAAACCCTTTGCTGCTGCATGGGATCCTGCATAATGTGGCATAGTACGAGATATGCCTAGCTGTGGGAAAAGGAACGGGGCAAAGAGTTGACCAAAGGTGCAAAGAGAAAAGGGGCAGTACAGAGAAGAAATGGTCATGTGAGAGGACCACAGAGTTACAAGTGACTGCTTTTTCTCTAGTAGTTGCATAGTGCGGGGGCTGCTGTTCTCACTCAGACATTGCTGCGCAGCCATTCTGTTATCTCCTGGCATTCCCCGTGACTGGCCCTGTGCTCCACGCTGATCTTACTCTCCTTCCAGAGGAGGAGTTGGCTTAGCTTTGTTTATCAAGCAAATTATGTCATAATTCTGTTTGGGTTGGGTTTTTTGTGTGTGTGTGTCTGTGCACACGCGCTACCTTTTAAAATACAGACATCAACAAGGGAAAACCTCAACATCTTAATTTTGCTTCTTTGTGTGTGGGTTCTGCATAGAAGACACTGTTGACTCATTATTAGATCTGGTGACACATTGAACTCCTTAGTCTGTACAAAGTAATGGTGCATCACCTGCTATTCTGTTTCCGAGTAAGTTGTTTTTAAAACGTTTAGGTTTCCCATAGAAATGTCATCTCACTTTGGCATTTGATACAAAGAAAATAAGCTTGCTTCAGCATGGGGGGCTGCTGTAGCCTGTGTAGCTGAAAGCCTGTTTGGCTGTCAGGAAATCCAGGGCACCGAGCTGTGCCATGGGCAGGTTGCTAAACACTGGCCTTGTCTGTCAGATGTAGTTTGAAATGCACCTGGGATCTTGCTGGGGTTCCACAAGGATCCTCTCAGAGTCCAAGCAAGTATTAATTTTCTTGCAAAGCACCTAGCAGAATCAGCACTTTACAGTTCAAGGTGTTTGACCAAGCTCTACTGATGATGTCCACCTTCACAGTAAAAGCACCACGTGGGTGATGCTTGCTGGTGGTGCTGTGGGTCTGGAGCATGAGTGGGGAGAGCGGCTGCATCTTCCATTCGTCAGTTAGAGAACTTGGAACTGGGGGTTGTTTTCTTGCAGTGATCACAGTTTTAATGGGCAGAGAGATAAGCGCGTTGACGGATGCTTGGCGATCTTTGGTGCTTTTTCAATAGGGTCTTAACCAAAACTGACATACTCCTGAGCAAGAGGAAAAACTTAGAGATGAAAGGGAAATGGTAAATGGAAGTTGCTTACAAATGCTTTATTAGGTCACCAAAACAACTAACTGCAGTTGCATAGGAGGGCTTTTCTGATTCAAAACTTGTCATAGTTGAAAGAAAACATGAAAGCAATCACAATGTGTATGTGCCAACGTTTATAGGTTATATAAAATAAATAGGGAAAATGACAGTCATGAATAAAACTTAACAGTTAGAAAATGCAGACATTGATAAAGGAATTTGGAAGTTATCTGAGAGGCATCCTGGGCCAACAGTACAAGAAAAATCCTCCAGTTTTTTCAGTGTCCTGGAATAAAAGTGGAATCAAAGCAGCAACAGAGTCAATATAAGGTAAGGATGAAAAAATGTGGAGAAAATATGGAATAAATATGATTAATAAATATTGCTGCAGTGTATTAGGAAAAGGGCAGGTTGGTTGATGTCTTTCTCTTACATTGATATAGAAATGTTTCTTCCAGCAACATCTAGATAGAATTTCAAAATGGCACTTAATAGAGTTAAATAAATAAAACTTTGACAGAATTACTTGTTTCAAAGACAATCAAGAGGACTATCTGTTCTTAGTGCATCTCAGAATATGACTGACGTTTCAGAGATGTAGAAAAGAGCTTTTGCATTGCTAGAAGCCATAAACCATGAATTTGGATAACTGTGACCTTGTTTAGCATGTCACAAATTTTAGGCAAAAGCATGAAAGAAATGATGTGGTACATGATCAATAATTGACGAAGTGGCTATGCAACTAATGCCTACCAGCACTGTTACACAGAAGAGCATTCTTTTTATAAAATGGTTTTTTTCTGTTGCCTTATGCAGTTACCAGATTGGCATAAAAAGGTTCAAATTTTTAATTATTGTTATTTTTGAAGGTCAGAAGCTCCCTAAAGAGCGGGTCCATTATTTCTCACTGGAAAGCTTTAATTCAGCACTAGGTGCTGTTATGAAAGATTAGCAATTGCTTAAGGCAAATGCTTGAGCTCAAAACAGAATTTAATGGGGGAGGTTCACTTCCATTATTGTCTTAATATCCTTAATATGTTCTTTTGGTTTCCTGGTGTTGTAGTAGGTATGTATTTATAGATGCTATTTTCTTCTCTCCCCCTTGCAGCAGTGGCTATAACATGTACCTTGGTTAACCATTTCCCCTTGGTATTTTTGCTGTTGCATACTGTGCTATACTTGGTTACATTGTTCTGCCTTTGTCTCAGATCAGGGCAAAGATAGGAATGCAACGGCACAGAGATCTTCAGAGCATCCATCACTCTGATCGACACATCCATCTGTAGCCATCTGAGTGTTGTTGCAGCTACTCAGCAGCACCTGTATTGCCAGTTGTATCTGATGGGTTAGGGATCAGCAGCAGGAGCATTAGGAAGAGCATTTGGTAAGTGTCATGGTGCTTGTCCTCAGTGTCATTAAGTTATTGGTGGCAACAGTAGAGGGGAATGGCCTCATCAATATTCTTTCAGGGTGCAGCCTTGCAATGCTTTGTTCAAGGGATCAGTGGGTTTGCTTGTGCTGATGGCCTTTGTTTGCTTCCAGGCTCCCTCTGGGCTGTTCTCCACAGATGGCAAAAGCAGCAGTCAGAGTTCCCCTCAGCAGGAGCCATGACAAATGCCCTTCCAGAACAGAACTTGAGAGCAGATTTTGGAAGAAAGCTGTATGGCATTGGCTAATTCGTTGTCCTAAAACTGGTCTCTGGCAGAGATTTGGCTCTGAACCCGTTCAGGACCTGCAGAGACCATTTTGAGCTTTAGAGGGCACCTCTTTGTTGGTACTTTCTGCCACACAAGGAAGACTTATTTTGCTCCGGTTTACTGGAGCACTTCCTTGGAAGCTTTCCAAGTTCTTCTACATCTTTTCCAGGAAAGAAGCATGTCAATGTATCTAAAGTTCCCCTCTAAGTAAGCGTTCATAGCTCTTTGTCAGTCTTTGTTGTTACCTGCTGTTTGCATACCTTGGGGCCTGGACAATTTTTCTGCCTCAGAGGCATGTCTGTCTTCAGTACTTGTACTTCTATTAGTCCCGTTTTGGTTTCGGAGATGTGTAGCAGAGACCACTTCAGTGACCTGTAGCAATGTCAGGTGCAGAGGAACAGGCCAGTGAGTTTCTTCTTGGTAAAGGACAGTTCGGTTTTGTAGGTTACAAGCCAGCCTTTACGTTGTCAGAATTGCAGTTTTCTTTCGTACCCTCTGAGGGGTAAGTTGAGTCACCCAGGAACTTGCGGTTTGAATGTTTAAGGACATGTTCCAGTCAAAGAATTGGGTTTACATAACTCTGCTTTCCAGTCAGATGTTACAAGACAGCAAAATGAAAGCCCCAATTTAGTTTAATTAGGGTGGAAAAACAAAACTTAAGTGAAAAATACAGAACCTTAAAATTACTTGGTTTTGTCCCTGCCAACGTTGAGGAAAGGCCATCTTACTGTAGGAAGTAGAGTCAGTTAGTAAAGACCTGTAAATGTCTGTTTTGATTATTAGCGTGCATCGTAGCCAAAATAGAGGTGTCTTTGGTCTAGGCCACTACAGCAAAGGAAACATGCTGCAGCATGAAGGGAACCACCACCCTGAGGACTAGTCAGGAGGAAGGTGGTGAGTCTGGGTGCTTGCCAGGACCTGTTCTTGGGGGTCTGCTTTTGGAAGTTGATCTTGAGATTTCTGTGAGTGCAAAGTGGTTCAGAATTGCTCTTTCTTCGAGTAGCTTTTTTACATTGTGCTGGGGGGGGGAGGGGGACCTGGTTGACTCTGTCGAGGGAAATGGCTGTGGTAGAAGTGATGTTACCCTTGTGTATTAGAACCACTGGCCTGTGGATCCAGCCAGGCTCTATGGTCCAGTGGGGAGTTGGGTAAACCAGAACAGGAGCTCTAAATAAGAATGAGCGTGGTCTGTCAAGCTGGTGGCCTGGTGGGGAAGCATGCTGTTGTCAGATGCAGGAGCTGAACATTTCAATCCTTTTTCATGGTGGTGAAAAATCAAACCTTAAAGGCTGGCCTCTGATACCTCTTTGCAAACATTGTGATCGCCAGGCTTTTGCCAGCACTGCAGCTTCTCTCTCTTCTTATGTTGTTGCAGTCCTCCTTTGCCCGTTGTAAATAAGCTGGATCATCATACTCTGGCATGCTGGCCCCGTGATTCTGTCTTACCAACTAGCATGTGATATACCAGGATTTAAGCTTCAGCTCACTTTCCCAACAACTGTAAAGGAGCGATGGCGTGAGCCAGCCCTCAGGTGGTTTCTTGTGAAAGAAAGAGTGGAAAGCTTGATCTCTTGTTAAGAGTCGTTCCGTGGTAGTGGTAGGAAGCTGTAGTTGGGTTGCCCAGCCTGATCACTGGTGAGGAGCTGAGGATAGCAGAGGAGCTTCCATGAAGAAGCAGGCCCAGTGTTTAGGACAGTGATGTGGTTTGTGCATCTAGCCATCTGCTACCCATCTGGAAGTGCTCTGGCCACAGATTTTGGTTTGTACTGTAGCCAAATGCAGAGTTTCTTGCCTGGGATGCTGAAGACAAAGATACTGAGGTGATTGCACATCTGAAAGAAGTGAGGCATTAGTCATGCTCCCGTCTTTCTGGTAAACATCGTTGTATTAGCTAGCCCAGAGGGCATGGTAGTACTCTGCGCATTCACGTGAGCGCGTGTGTGTGCTGACTCAACTAGAATGTTGGCAAGTGCTGCTGCAGGCCACAGGTTAACTGATGTTAAGTCAGTTGCAAGTGTTTTCCCTTGCAGTGTGTAATGAAGTCCACGGATCTGCTAGTGCTCTTCTGTAATGTGAAAATAGCAAGGGGTAAATGGATGGCTGAAAAATTTCTATAGCAGTTGCTTCTAAATGAGTCCACGGGGAAACCTCTACAGGCTTTGAATAATGTATATACTACAGCCTAACTCTAAGCGGGGCATCAGACTGCTTCATAACCCTGAATACAGAAAAGCAACTCCTAGGTAATTAACTTGTGCTGTCTTTTGCTTATAGCTGTAGGCATCTTTTGAAGGCAGCAAAAGTTTGTACTCTGCCTTTGACAGTTACTCCAGAACTGCTCTATTGTAAGAGAAGATTGTGTGCTCCAGAAGAGCCGAAAGCTGTGAATGGTGGGTAAGTATCGACCATTGCACCCTGAGCTAACAAATGGGCACCACCATTCCTGTCACTTAGTTGGAGGGAGCAGGGAGAGTTAATCTTTTTCCTTAAACACAGGAAAACAGCATTTCACTTGCCCAGAAAAGGGAGAAAAGATGCTTCATACACCACCATGTGCAGGTAAGATTCTTATCCTTCCTGCAGTCCACAAAAATCTCAGAATGCTGCCTAGAACTTCCCACTATCACGCCGACTTCCTAGTTTGTAAATACATCCCAAGATGACACCAGAAACTGTGACAGACAATCTAAAATCAAAGGCAGTTTAACTTTCTGAATAATCCTTTTTACATCAAACGTAGAGAAGGTCTGTAGTGTTCTCTTATCACAACTTACTTTTGCTGCATTCCGTAAGTTTCTGGCATTTATTACTGCAGCACAGTAGCAAAATAATGTAGCAAGTTCCAATTACTGCAAGTGCAGATTAAGTTTAGCATTATTTCAGATTTTGATCCTCACTGTAATTAATTAAAAATTTAATACTAAACTTGACTGAGGATGCCCAAAGGTTACAGCTCTCTACATTCCGGGGAAAAAAAAGCTTAATTAGATAACCTTCCTTATTTTAATATTGACCCATTTGAACATTGCAAGTGTTTCCAGATAAATCTGTGTGGTCACTGTCAAAGCGACAGAGCACTCAGAAGGACAAACCCATGAAATCAGCTTTTAAGGATGTTTGAGGTTGTTGGTTGGTGCTTTTTGATCATACCTCCAGCCTCAGTGCTTTAATTGCTAATGGAAATACGCACCAGGCTTCCTACAGTATGATGCAGTGCATTAGAAGAGCCCACTGTGGCACGGGCCTAGTCAGTACTCCTGTTCACCCAGCCGCAGTGCAGAGATGCCCTGCTCTGAGTAAGAGCATGACAGATTGCTGGGGAAGTTTTCCTAAAACTTCTAATGGAAAAAAATTTAACTCCAGAAACTCCGTTCTTGCTGTTCACGCATGTGTCTTAAAAAAAAACAACCCCAACTTATTCCTGACTTTTGAGAACTTACTTAGTAATACCCTTCTCAGTGTTGTTTCCTTAGAGGTAATATGGAACAGAATGGGGACAATGGCCGGCGCAGTGAGGTCTGCATGCTAACTTACTGTGCTGAATGAAAACGTAGGACTGAGGTACACCATTACTACCCTCTTCTTAGCAGTTAAGTGAGAGAGGTTTCTCTCTATAAGCCAGGTGTAGACAGGAGCTCTTGGGCAGCGAATTCCTGGGTTCCTGCAGGACTATTTTTTAGTTTATTCCATCAATCACACTTGTGAAATAGGAATGGCACTTCCTTTCTGGGCAAGGTGTGAGGATAAGTCTGTGTCCGAGGTGAGCAGATACCATGATGACGCACATCATAAATATATCTTGACAGTTACCTGTTACGAAGAATACATCTGCTTTAAATGTTTCTGTTAAGACTTGTCTGCATCGCTTACGCTTTCTCTTGCTAAGCCTGGCTCCTCTGTATACTGCCTTCATCCTCATACCTGCAAGGAGCCTGGCCTTCTCCCAGGTGCCATCAGTACAAGAATGAGCGTGCCCTGTATGGGATGACCACTTACTAATAAGAAAAAAGGTAAAGCAGAAAGAGTAAAGCTGTGTGTTTTAGCATTTTCTTTTAATTGAGCTGCTTGAGGTAAACACTAGGCTCTCCAGCAGGGTTGCCCTGCCAAATGAGAACTACAGAAGACGACACAAATGTCTCCTACGAGATGTTGCGCCACTTCCTGTAGTGTGTCCTACACTAGCTAGCTACACACACTCCTACTCTCGCCTAGTCCTTACAAACTGTGTGGCATGCCTGCAACACACATACTTACGATACTAAGGGTTAATGCAGATGGGAAAAGTTGTCTTATTATGTGACTCAACTGTAAAAATTTAATGTTCCTGTTTGAATTAGTGAGAATACTTTTAATATTTTTCTATTTCTAAAGAAAGTGAGGGGGGAGGACCAAAGCCTCTTTTGTTAAATAGACTGGAACTGAGATGCTGCAAGGAAAGATGCTGCCAGACTGCCATTTAAAGTACTTGAATACACAGGGCCTAGGGGAGTTGTCCTGCTGTTCCTTGCAGGATCACTAACCTGATGAATAGCTATTATGCAGCATTTGGTCATGAAGTGCTTAAGGAAATACAGACCCAGGTGTCTTCTGGTGGTTTAAAAGCAGAGCTGGTCAGAAATAAGGCTAAAAGGTGTGAATCAGCAGCCACGATGCCCTGGTGACCTGCAGGACTGTAGAAACCTCAATTAAAAAAAGTCTCTGCCAGCCCCCTGAACCGTGCTGGAAACTCTGTGGCAGCAGAAGGTGCGTTTGACTCCGACAGCAGCTCTGCTAGGGCTCAAAAAGCTCCTCCACCCCCAGAATATGAGAACCTTTGCCTTGTTTCTGTTACAGCTGGAATGCAAAGAGAACACTGGACAAGTGCATTAACGGAACAAAAATCCATACACCTTTGACACTGCATATGTAGGTTATACATACAATAACTGAAAGAAAGAACGGTATTTTTACTATTATGCCTCTTGTTTTTCTGGAAGTAATTAACCTACTCAGTAATTCAGCTGGATATAAAATTATTTCACAAGTTTTTTTTCCTTACTCGGGGTTTAATTCATTACAGCAAATACTGCTCTAAACGTAACAATTCTCAAGGTTTATCTTAATTCATTTCCTCAGGAGTGACACCCAGGTTACTGAAGACTGAGCTGAACCAAGAACACCACTGTCAATCTCCATCTTTGTGCAAAGAAAACTGGCTACAAGTGGGTGACAATGGTATGATGCCGCTCATTGCGTTTTCATCATGAAACCCGCTATCTGTATTCTTAGGAGGGCCAATATCTGTAACGGTTACACTCACCATCTCAGATTAACGTGCAACAAGAAGAAATACTGCTCAGAACACATTTATTAGAGGAGTTTCTAGATAGCCTAAAGAACAACTGTCTCATCAGAGTTTTGCTGAAACGCTAAATAGTTGGTTTCAGTGTAAATGATTCTCTGCTGCCATAATTATGAGAACTAAAAGAGACCATGAGTCAGAGGCTTTAGTTCCAAAGCACAGACAAAGCACAGCTGCTCGGCAGTAGCTGATGCTCCTGGTCTCCCACCATATAAGATACTTAAGCTTTAAGATGGGTGGCTTGCAACCCTTATTTTAGTATCTGGACATCAGCATAGTTTTGTATGGATGTCTAAAACTGAAGTGATAAACCTTCAATAATTCTACTTGAAAAAGATACGTAAAAATTACAGCAAGGGTAGACAAGAGACTTCATTTTGGGTTTTTATTATAAAAGTAAAATAAAAATAAGCATTTAAAAAGCACACTTTTTTAAAGGAACAGATATTAAAAAAACTATTTACAAATAGGAAAATGCCAAACTTGAAAAATTTTTCGAATAAGAGGCACCAAAGTTAAACTTTAAATACACTATTTGAAATATAAAAGATTCTTTTTTTTACGATTCTCTCTTCTCTCCGAGTTGTCATTGTTGTGATTAAAGTCATTATTTTTCTTTGCCAGCTATTTTATGAGCTTTTTTCATGCAACTGTGCTGCAAAAATTATGAAGAGAGCAGCTAGAAACTCTATCCTTTGATTGCTCTGTATGCCTTACTTCTTTTTATTAAGTGAGTCGGTATTATGCATTAACAAGGAGTGACTTTCATCTATAAAAGAAAATTCTCGCAAACCAGAAACGCTCAGTCAGTCATTCACAGTGTCCAGTCCTGTGTATTAATGCGGCAGCAGAGCCCTGGTTATTGTATATGGCTTGTAAATGAATAAAATTAAATGTACTTGAGGAAGGAAGCAACAGCTAGGAGTCACACGCTGAAGTTGCCGTTGGTTCAGGTTCGTGTGTGGTTCCTCCAGCGCCCTTTCGGTTGTGAATTCACTTCCCTCTGGCCAGGATGACACCGATGTAATTTTACGTCACGTTTGTTCCTGTAACTGCATATTGCTAATCGAATATTACTAGTTGGCTATATAATTGCTTTGCACCGAACTTTCATGTCCATAGCCCAGGGTCATTTTGCTAAGTGTTACTGATGACTTGCTGTTCATAGAGTCTGAATAAGTAAAGCTCAGTTTGCGGAAGGAGGTCTCCACACCGCTGTCACACATGCTTTCGTTGTCTTGAAATTTGCTATTATAAAGCTCGCCTGAGGGAGAGAGAAAAGGGAAATATATTATCGTTTGTGTTGATTCAGTAATGTTGCTTTCCGAAAAGCCTAAGGAATGCAAACTGATAGGTTAAAGCTCCTCTATAGGAAAATAACTCTAACTTTAGATATTATTATAGCAAAAGCTATGCTGAATGTTTTCAGCTGACCAAAGCATGCAGTCTGATGCACTGCTAGCAGAGATCAAGGGCAGTTGGAGCTTGGGTGGGATGAGAAGCCTGGTGCTCTGCTAGCACTAACACTGCACTAGTCAGGACTCGGCCTGAATGTGGTAGTAGCAGGGCACAAGGCTCTCTGGTTCTCAGATTCCCAGACTCTGTGCAAGTATACAGCTCCAGGATGAGGCCCCTAAAACCTCCTCGTGTTACCTCACTTACAGATTTCTTTTTGAGACAGACACTTGAACAATTTTCATCTAGAAAGTGAGCCTGAAATGTGAAGAAGTCAGCAGCAGCTGTCGTCTGTGCCAGATCCACAAAAGAAGTGCCTGACTACAAGAGAACTGTATCTGAGTTGAAGGTATGATGTGGGCTCAGCGTGACTAGAACAGTGGTCAGCATATTAGAGTTCAGTATTATTTTTCTGAACAACTAGCTTAAAATAAACGACATGATGCAGTCCATTCCTGTTGCAAAGCAGCAGAACCCCTCTTACCCTTCAAGATTAATCTAAAGAGGCAATATGTGTACCGGCACATTTTTGAATAGGTGTGAAGGTTCGTTCCATGACTGAACAAACAATTTTCTATAGAGAGTAAACCGGCAATGTTAGACCAGGATGGAGTTACTGTGTTTCTTTTTTCTTTCCAGAAATATCTACAGTATTTTCACATAGGGTATATATTTCCACATTAGGGTGCTGGCAGCACTGCTGGTGTTGGAACAGAGCATCAAGAAGAAGCAAAGGCTTTTTGTTACTTAACAGGACCAGGCAGTGACTGAACGTCCCTGATGACTTACTGCCTTCTCACAATCTGTTTTTCTGTTAGTAGAACCCCCTGCCCAAAACCACCGTAGGACCTCCATTGCTGAAGATGCTCCACGCTCAACTGGACGTGACACAGGCAGCCTCATGTAATGTTATATTGGCCCTGCTCGAGGTCCCCTGTAACCTAAACCATTCCCGATTTCTCTGCCTACAGAACACTGGGCCATTTCGGAATGCCACACATTGTGGAAGGAGAAATTTAATACCAAAGTCTTACTGAGAAGTTAGTTTATGAACCCAAAACACTTTTTGTTTATCCAGATATGGGGTGGGGGGGAGTCAAAAGGTAATGGCACTTGTACAGGCCTGGGACATCATTCCCTAGTTTATCTTTTGAAACTTATCCCCAGTACATCCAAGGAGTTACCATCAGTAAGTGGCAGATGTCTGGGTTCAGAAAAGGGAGCCGGTATAATCAATACTGTAATGCAGGGCTACCGATTCAAATGGTCCACTGTTCCCTCTCTTCTAGGCCTAGCAAATGTCTACAATGAGAAAGTCCTGCTGCAGTAAAATATTTCTGAAACAGGTAAGCGTCTCGGGCATTGTGTGTAAGAAACTATGCCAGCTCTCAGCAGTCCAAGGGGAGGGAGGGGCGGGGAGGAGAATTGGAAAAGTGTTTTAAATAAAACTCTTGATGTTTTCCTGTCAATTTTACCTGTCTCTCCATTTGCAAAGGTGGGTGGTGATGATGACGGAAGAGCTTTTGTTGTATTGTCCTCCTGGTGAGACAGGCTTTGTGAGATGGATAGTGCTTTCTGAATGATTTCAATGGCTTCGGTGTGATCCATCTGTCTCAAAGCAGCGATCAACTCTTGAACTGTACCACCAGAAACCTGAGAGAGAAGATACCAGATGCTCACCATCATCCAGGCTAACTAGAACCAAAGGTCTGCGCCGTCTCACCGTGCAGGAGGACAACGTTCTCTACATGTCTGTGTGTTCTTTAGAAGTTGTTACAGCCACATTACCTCATAGTTATCTAGCAGAGTTTTCGATGGGGAAGGGCTCAACCTGAAGGCATTATTAAGTATGCCAAGACCCAGTTTTTGTGCTAGAGTGGACCAGTTTTTGTTTGGATCGGGCACTTCCAATAGTTTGTAAAGCTGCATTTTGGAACTTTCGTTCAGCTCTCTCAAACGTCCTGGGGAACAGAGAAGTCTGTTAGTTTTACTTCTATAAATCGTGCACCAGTTCATTTCTAAGCAGAAACAAAGCCAAATTAAAGAGTATTTTAGTGTCCATCAATCCCAGTGTTTACTCATGTATTGCTGTAATATTGAAAGTGTACTCCTTTGTGTCCTTGTGACCCACCTCTTAACAGAATCATGCTCATTCTGAGAATGAGTGGGTGGGAGGGTACCTCTTCTCCCTCCCCGTTTCAGTTACAAGCTATTGCAGGGCAATGTCTTCTGCAAGTATACTTTCAGACTCAATTACTAGAGGGGTATTGTCTGGTCTTCTTTATAGATGTTACCTTGTGTCAGTAAGTCCTCCGAAACCACTGCTGACTCATAGGGTTTGCCATTTAATATGTCATACACCTAAGAGAATACATTAAAGTCAATATTTAGCAGAAACCTGGTTAGCATCCATTATCTTGACAAGTCTCAGTAGCATTCTATAAAGCCCTAATTCCATCTGTAAACGGGCAATTTTTTCTGTCCCAGGATCAGTATGACTAAAGGTACTGTAGAAGACCTGTGCAAAGCTTGAGGGAGAAACCTTGAGAAGTTAATCTCCCTTGCCCTTTAGCTATGTCATCTGGCAACTGTTTTCAGGATACGGAAGAAGTCGTCTTTGCAATAAATAAGTGGCAGTAGCAGTGGCTAAGTGAGGAGTTATTGCCTGTCTGCAACTAGGAATTTAAAACAAAGCCCAGGTTAGGTTTTCACCTAAGGCTAGTACCGCTCCCCAGCGAGTGATTAGAGTGGAGCTGGGGAGCGGTGATTAGAGATGCTGACTGCTTATACCTTATGCTCGCACCAAACCAACTGCACGTACTCAGCTACTAAAGCACGGACCCTGTGGCCTAATTGCTGTTTGGGTAGGACATGAAAGTGTATTTTCATAGAATCATAAAGGTTGGAAGAGACCTCCAAGACCATCGAGTCCAACTGTCAACCCAACAACACCATGCCCACTAAACCATGTCCCTAAGCGCCTCATCTACCCGTCTTTTAAATACCTCCAGGGATGGGGACTCCACCACTTCCCTGGGCAGCCCGTTCCAATGTTTAACCACTCTTTCAGTGGTTAATCACTCTTCTCCTTATGCACAAAGTAAGTTGGCAATTCTGAAGAACATGTGGCAAAGAAACCCACTAGAGAGTGTCTCGCTCTGAAGGCCCATATTCAAACAAACACAAGCTGCCCAACCAGCTAAATACTTTTCTGTATTGAGAACTGTAGCGCAGCTATTTCAAGAAGTGTCTGGTCATTCCTGTTCAGTAGCAGTAGTCTGTTAAGCTATTTCATTGGGGTTTTTTGTGGCTGAATTAGTTTAATTTTTGATGGCAAGTAGTAGCTTGTCACCACTGAAATAACTGTGGATGCAGTGAAAGGAGTTGGCTGAGAGAGCTGAACTATCATTTATTATTAAAAAACCAGGCCACGTACCTCAGAGTTGGCTGCCATATCCAGTGGTGTCGTTCCAGGCACAATTCCTTCATCGTCATCTTCATCATCTTTCACATCATCTAGATCAAACAATGGCTCAAAGTTCTCTACATGAGGATTTGCACCTGGCAAACAAGTGTGCAAAAAAATTCCTAAGAAAAGGCTTCAAGTTGCTTTTCAACAATATTTAACATATGTATTCTAAGTTCTGAAAGGCAAAGGTGCTACTTAGCTACTCAAGCTAAATTACATTTTACATTGTCAGCAAATAAACTTTATCAACTAAAGTTAAATGCTGTCACATCCCTGTATAATGCTACTCTCCACTATAAAGAGGGGAAAAAGCGACAAGCAGAGTGTTAGGGCCCAAAGAAAGGGCTATGATTATACAAACTGACTTCCAGTCCCATTCTTGGCTCACACAGAGCGTAGCACGTGTGTGATGAAGCAATGGTGCGGTACTGCTTTTTATAGTGTCAGAGAAAGTGTGGGTATTATTAAAAGACCAAGCACACAGCCAGAGCAACGGGAGGCTTGGATTTCTGTTTCAAAGGAGAAAAATCAGGTATTAAGGGTCTAAATACAATTGACGAAATGTTCCAATAAATATTCAAAACTAACTCTTCCACAGTGATATGAAATAGGAGACACTAAGAAGCTCACGTTTCAGTGACCTATTTTTTGTTTTTGAAGCAGTCCAACACTTATCCCAGCTATGTAATGAGGTCTCTGCTTCTTCAGCTATAAAAAACTACAAAAGAAACACTCAAAAAACTTCCAAGAGCCGCACAAGAGATTTTTTCCTTAAAATAAGGACATAATTTGCTTTTTTTAGCCATTAGATGGTGCTACAGAGTAGCACAGCACCTGAAAGCAGGCCTTTCCCGAGGAAAAACAAACCTTCGTGCTTTTAACATCCGATTTCTTCTGCTCATTAAACGAGCTCACTGGCACATTCTGTTCTGCTTGCAGCCTTCTAACCTGAATTGCCACTGTGAAAGAAAGCTCTCCAGCAAACATCTATTTTCATACCTGCTGCTTTGAGAACTGCTGCCAATTTTGTAGAGCCCCTTCCAGCTGCTATGTGAAGAGGAGTTGTCCCATCATACGTAGTGCTGTCCACATCTGCATCCCCCTAAGTTTTTATTGAACGACAAAAAGTAAAGTGCTACTTCTCTATACAATACAGCTGCAGAGGCTCATGTCTGCATAAACAGTGCTACTGTGCAAATAAGCACCATTCCACGCCCGTTTGCAGAAAAATAGTCGTGGTCTGAAAAGAAGGAATTGGAAAGTAACTGCCTGCCGGAGCAGAGGGTGGTTGTGTGCTCCAGTGTTACAGCAGGAGGCACGGCGTCTAAACCCAAATAGGTCAGGCGGATAACAGCCACTTTGCATTCCACCTAATAGTTCTGCCGTCTGATCGGCCGTGGCCTTTGGCGTCTGAACTGGTGTGCACGGGAAGTCTGCCTTCCTGCTGCTCTTCAGGAGAGCAGGTAGGCTGGTGGCGCGCCCGTACACAGATAGCGAGGAGGGCTACCGCAGCCAGCTGTGGGTGTGTAGAATTGTGCACGCTAGGATCGAGGAGTTAAAGAGATGAGACAAATATTTATAGATATACACAACTATCTCTCTATGCACATCTGTATACACATTCCACTTGACAAAGATGAAGCGATTAATTTGTTCACGGGTAGTTTCATTGGCTGCTGGGATTACTCAGTGCAAATTAAACACGGCATATGCAGTCAGGTCAGGGTCACAAACTGTAAATTCCTCAACTTGGGCAAAAGGTTCCAGCGCTGACCAAGTAATAACAGATAACATTAGCAATAATTCTGCCATTATACCGACTTAAGTAATCAAGTCAATAAACAGGAAAAACCCCTTCCTTCTGTTCCTCTGAAGCACTTACGGATTTTCAGGAGTTTTTAAGTGTGTCAGTGAAAAGTCCTGGGAGAAAGAAATTCTGCCCTTACCTCAAGCAAAAGGCAGCCTGCCAAAGGGATGTTCTCGTGTTCAACAGCTAAATGCAATGCAGTTCGTCCAGATTTTTGCTCCTGAGCATTGACATTAACTCCAGCAGCAATCAGCTGTTTGAGGCAGGACATACTATTTGCCATCACCACCATGTGAATTGCACTGAGACCTAAACAAAACAAACCCCATCCATCATGTGCATTAATATTTGAAAAATACGGCAATGTCAGAGTAATGAGTTTTGAAGTGGCCGCCATCTGTGAGAATTGTAAAATGAGCGAGAGTTACTGTAGCTACCTGAGCACAAGTGATTTATTTTGCCTGCTTATACACTAAAAGACGGTGTTAATAAAAATGTTCTTTGTGCGTAAGTTGGAACTAGTTGTGTTACTGATGGCAAATCAAAGCCATGCATGGGGGGGGAGGGGGGAGAATCAGCAAATTACAAGGTGGAAAAGAAGGCAGGAACTAAAGAGCTCACCTAAAGCATCTCTCTGCCTCAAAGGAGAGTAGCCTTAACAAGAAAATCTGCATCTTGGTACTAAACAAATAGGTACCCTGCACTGGCCCCATCTGCTACTGAGCACCGCTTCTAGAAACATTCTGGGGAATAATTGGTATTTTTAGTATCATCCTCCTGTAAGGTCACGCTGCCCTATCGCCTCAAGATTACCTGCACCAGCTCAAAAAGAGAATAATAAAGCCTTGAATTTAAAAAACAAGCAAGCAAAGAAACAACCCCAAACCAACCAAACAAAAAAACCTCTCTTGAGGAACTTAACACAGTTTTTTGATTCCCATGACGACATTTTTAGGTCAGACAGTTTACAATCTACTAGAGCAGGAGTACTAAATTCAAATGACCTGCGCCACTGAAAAATGGGAGAATTGTGTCTTTGCCATTATTTTTATAGGCTCTAGTTCTGTATGGGGATAAAGTACCAGATATGAAACTTGACATTGGTCAAGAAATTATTTTTGAGGGGATTTCATTCACTGGAGGAGGAAATATTTTCTGCTGGGGGGATTTTTTTTTTTTTTTAAAAACTGGTTGCATAAGGTGTCTCAGGAGGAACACAGCACTTGAAGTTTTGTGAGATTAAAAAGAATATGCAGTAACAAAAATTCAAATCCATACTGTGTCACGTGGCCATTACCAGT